ATAAATAATTATCGAATACGTTTTAAATAAAGTGAAAACGTTTTTAGAAAATACATCGATTTTCTTGCGAGTTAGCCATTAGTAAGATAAGCAAAAAGCGTTCCAAGTTAAATAGTTTCAAGAAGGATAGAGAGAGAGTGCACCGTCACGATCCAGAAACAGGTGCGGAATCCTTGGTAATACGGATGCATTAGAACTCGACCTCACTCTTTCCTTCTCTCTCCTCTCTCTCTCTCTCTCTCTCTCTCTCTTTCTTTCTAACGTTCGTCGATTCATCGTCCAGGGTATTCGCGATAACGCGCCGTTATCGTACAGCCCGTCTGCCAGGTCGATGTTATCGGGCGTGCTTCTGCTAATCGGCTTCAACCGAGTAAGTAAGTAAGAAAGAAAGAAAGATAGATAGATAGATAGAAAGAGAAAATAAAGATAGGGAGAGAGAGAGAGAGAGAAAGAGAGAAAGAAAGAGGGTGAGCGTTTATTCGAAAGGTAGAAGGGAGACACGACGGCTGGCTTCCTGAATCCTTCGCTAAGACGGTGGCATCGTACTGATGGACGGTAGGAAAGACGCTTACTTTGCTATCGTATGTATGTATATATGCATGTATGTATGTATGTAGTTATATGCCGGTATCTTTGAAATCGGCCTACGATAGGCCGGGGTCATCTGGGTCAACTTGTACCTTCCTGCATCGTCGTTTTCTTCTATTCCTTCCTACTACGTTTCTTCTTCTTCTTCTTCTTCTTCTTCTTCTTCTCCTGCTTCTTCTTCTTCTTCTTCTTCTTCTTCTTCTTCTTCTTATTTTTCTTATAGAATACCTTAACCTTCGTTTACGATCTATCTCAGGCGTTCGGTCTTACGGAAAGATAATTTCGATCAGAATGATGTCGAGTAATACAATACATTGTTTTCGTAAGAGAAATTACTAATGGAAATTAGAATTATCCTGTTACATCATCGTCACGATTCTATTTAGTTCTTAAATAGAAGCATACTGGATGTCAACAATATCGATTGTGCGATTTTCTTTGACTTTGTCTTTTCTTTTTCTTTTCTTTTGTTTTTTTTTTCCTTTTTTTTTTCTTTTTTTTTTTTATTTTTTCTATTTTTCTTATTTTCCTTTTATTTTTTTTTTAACATCTTTCACGTAAAATCTCCTTTTATAACTGTTCTATAATAAATTCGCATTTTTCATATGTATACAGATTTATTGTTTATTTATAAAACTAAACAAAAGAAAAAAAAAAAGAAGAAAAAAAAAGAAGAAGAAAAGGAAAAAAGGAAATCGACATTTCCAGGAGAGAATTAGACTTTGAAAATTTCGAAAAAATATTTAAATGAATCGAATATTCCACTTTATTCTTCTCGTTCATTTTCAGGGCGTAATAAATAAATAAAACGAATATATATATAATCGTAAACTTTTTTTTGTAAAAAACAAAAAGAAAAAAAAAAAAACTCGATAATATGTGACCTCTCATAAGCACGCAATTATTATCAGATTTGATCGATACTATCGAAGTTATACGATCATAATATTATTGGCCTTGGATAATACGAAGAAAATTTTTTCTTCAAACCCATATTACTACTATTACTATTATTATTATTATTATTATTATTATTATTATTATTATTATTATTATTAAAAATTGTTATCTTCGTTTCGCACGTATAAAAAGTGTCATTTAATTTGAAGGATCGAAGATAAGGTCGAATTAAAAATCGATAAGGTTAAGATGCAGTTAGCAGGATGTTAAAAGCAAATGTTGAGGGGGTTAGCTCTTCGAAGGTAAGCATGGTAGGTGGCCTCTGGGACACGCGGAGAGCCGCATAATCGCGAGATTACGTAAGCAAGGCGAGCTTGTGTTGTTACGCTATAATTAGGATCGGCATAACCGCCGGTAAAGTTAGCCACGCCGTTGTAAACTCGACCGTGTGTAATCCGCGTCGTATTAATATACGTAGTCGATGATATAAACGTTCAATGATAATAAAGGGGGAAAGGGTGGTGAATGGGAAAGGTAGGAGAAGTGGTAGGAGGTTGAAGTGGAAGAAGAAAAAAGAAAAAGATTATAGTTTATCATAGCCAATTGTCGTAGTTACGTTTCATTTTCATTGGTATGATCCGTCCAATTTTTTCTTCATTTTTTCCATCTTTATTATTATTATTATTATTATTATTATTATTATTATTATTATTATTATAGGATATATTATTTTATATAGAAATTGTTATCTTATTTTTGACAAATACATTAGTTATTAATTAAATCGATCACGATTTCTTTCTTCGTATATTATTATAGATACAAAAGTATTTTGATTGATTAAAGATTTTTTTATTATAATGATTTTTATCAAGATTAATTTTCATTAATTAATTACAAATTTGTATTTCAAATGAAACGTCGTAAACTTTCTCTTTATATCTTTCTATCTCTTTCTCTCTCTCTCTCTCTCTCTCTCTCTCTCTCTCTCTCTCTCTCTCTCTCTCTCTTTCTTTCTTTCTCTTTTCAAACGAGATAGATGATAATAACCATAAGCAAAAGAGAAAAAAAAAAACAAAAAGAACTACGAGAGAAAGGTGTAAAGGGAGAAAAAAAAGGAGGAAGAAGAAGAAGAAGAAGAAGAAGAAGAGGAAAAAACAAAAATGATTTTCGAATCATTTGGGAAGAGGGTCATAATTACAATACATGAAGCACGTTCGTCGACGTTCCTTTTCCCATTGGAAGATTTGAATAAGCAGCTAATAAATCAGATTTCGTGAAGCTTTCGCGGGCGGGGGTGATTTACGAGAGGAAGTAAAATAAAAGAGAGAAGAAAGAAGAGAAAGGAGGAGGAGGAGAAGAAAGAGAAGTAGAAGTGGATGGAGGAGAAGAAAAAGAAGAAGAAGAAGAAGGAGGAGAAGGAGGAGGAGGAGGAGGAGGAGGAGGAGGTAGAAAAAGAGGAGTGACGTAGAAACGACGTTTCGCATCGATCGATCTATACTCCGGGCTAAGTATCGCTAAACGGGCGGAGTTTAATAAATTAATAATCCCAACGCCATCGTAACTCGAGAATATTGATATTAGTGGTATTAATAGGGTTAGGTAGATAGATAGGAAGGTAGGTAGGTAGGTAGGTATGTAGGTAGGTATGTAGGTAGGTAGATAGAAGTAGATAGATAAGTAGTAGTAATAGTAGTAGTAATAGTAGTAGTAGTAGTGGTGGTGGTGGTGGTGGTGGTGGTAACGTTGATGATGGTGTCCATCGTAAGATTGTCGGTGGTGCGACGTGCTCTCGCACCCATGGATCGACGGTCACGAGCGTGAAATTCGTGCGGGCCTCGGTGAAAATCAAGATCTCCGCGAGTCTTCTGGCCGACGTATGCTTGATTAATACCCGCCCGTAATTACGCGGCTGCCTGAGGCTTTCGAAGGGCGTATGTGAGAGAAGAGGGCAGTCCTCGTTGATTCGCTCGAACGAAGAAGAAGGATGCCGCAAGGCTGAGAGTAAGACAGAGAGAGAGAGAGAGAGAGAGAGAGAGAGAGAGAGAGAGAGAGAGAGAGGGAAGATGAATAGGAAGGAAAAAAAAGGGTGGAGGAGGCTGTTAAGGCAACGCGAGCGAACGAAACCCTGACAGATTTCATCGTGGGCTGACGTAAACAATTTGCGAATGTAAATACCTGTTGAATATTGAGCGTGTTGAGAGAGAGAGAGAGAGAGAAAGAGAGAGAAAGGCCTCACACCGAGTCCCTCGCACCTTACAGAGCCGTTTACCCTTTAAACTCGTGATTACTCTCTGCGCCACCTCGGCCAGCCCTTCCACCCACCCACCGCGAAGGGAGACTGTACCTACGTCATTGGCATAAATTATGCGAACGTCGTAGCCGTCGGTGCTTCCAACACCTTCCTTCTTTCCTTCCTTCCTTCCTTCCTTCCTTCCTTCTTTCTTTCTTTCTCTCTTTTCTTCCTTCCTTTCTTTTTTTTTTATTTATTTATTTATTTCCTTCACTTCTTTTTTCTTTTCTCTCTCTCTCTCTCTCTCTCTCTCTCTCTCTCTCTCTCTCTCTCTGTCTAATCTATCTATCTATCTCTCACCGTATAAGTCTCATATAGAAAGGAACGATCGAGAGGCTTTATATATATATATATATATATATATATGTATATACACGTAAAGAAAAAGTAAAAAAAGAAAAAAGAAAAAGAAAAAGAAAAGAAATTTGCAAATATCCTATCCTACAAAATACAGATATAAATTAATCCGTATGACGATTAATTATTTTTGTCTTTCTTTCATTTTCTTTTTTTTTTTTTTTTTTTTATACATATTTTATCTCCTACAAATACGATCTTCGATCGTACGACATTAATGTCGTTCATCGTATCGATCTAATTTAACGATGTATCGTATTAATAGACGTTCGTTTAAAATCTATTAAAGTTAGGAATTAATATTAGAATAGAAATGATTCGTAATGATAATGAAATAAGATAAAGTTTTAAATTAAACTTTCTCAATTATCTACGATAAGCTTTACATGTTATAAATGACAATTATAATTCCACAATAAGAATCTCGTTTGCTGATAAAATTTGATAAGTGGTTCGATATTTAGATGACTTCTACTACTGTCTCTCCCCTCCCCTCCCCTACCCTATTCTCCTTAATCCCCCTAGCCCTCCTATCCATTCCCTCCCCATACACGTTTGTTCAAGACTTTCATTTAATTGCCCTCGACCGATTCTAACGGTATCATTGATAACGGTCTAGAATAATCTATCCTTCTTATCCTTTTACGCCCGTCGTGTCTCGACGAACGATAATCGTTTACTTCTCTTTTTATCATCTTTTTTCTGTTATTCAGCACTTCCGGCCCGAAGCACTGACTCATTCGATAGAAAGTTACAAGCTTAGAAACGTTGTTTTAGTGTTACAAATTATATATATATATATATATATATATATATATATATATATATAACGCATCAGAAACCTTGAAGAGATTCTACTCACCGTCTTGATTCATTCCATGGCCACCATCATCTGTGTAAAAAAAACAGAAAAAAAGAATACGATTACAGATTGAAACTAAAGGGATACTTAAATGAATTTTTAACTATACTTAAATTTCTAGTATTATTCGAAAGAATTTTTTAAAAAATTCTTTCCATTTTGTCTGTAACGCCGATATTTTAATATTTCATTTCTTCTCTTTCTTTCTTTTTTTTTTTTTTTTTTTTTTTTTTTTTTTCTTTTTTTTTATAAATTTTAATAAAAGACACTAAAAGCTCGAACATTACAAGCTTTCAAATATTTGCAAACGAATAACAGGATAGATCTAAATTATGTTTCAATTATTGATTATATATAATATTATATTAATAATATATAATTGTACATGATGATCCATTCAAATGAATCTCATTATTATCGATTTAAAATGTTTTCAATAATTAATTTATAACTTATATTTTGTAATTAATAAATTTAAATGAGAATACGTTTTCGTCTTATGCATTAAGTATATAATTAAAATCAATATTTCAACAATGAAATATATTGTAAGAGAAAGAGAAAGAGAGACGATAAAGCGTCGAGAGTCTCTTATAGTTTAAGTCGAATGTACCCGCCCTCGGGTCATGACGACCGTACCTCGATGGAAACTCGCACTGCAACCTATTTGTACTTGGACTTGGTCTTGGACTATCGCCGCATCTCGCAATGTTCCTTTATTTAACCCCATAAATAACCGACGCTATCTCACCCCGTATGCTTGGTTTCGTAAGAGCGCGAACGAAGCTGCCCGGACTACCTCCAAACGAAATATTACGTGCTGCCACTCAAACTGTTATGGAATTTACATGATGAGTATTCCCCATTAATACGCATAAATAGATATAAGTTGAGAAAAAAAAAAAAAGAAAAGAAAAGAAAAGAAGAAATTTACACGTCGAACATCCTGGTTAATTGATTAAAGCGATTTATTCGCGAATTATTGATTGGTGGGCGAGATAATTTTGTTCCGTACGATTGATTTGAAACGTATCAAAAAAAAAAAAAAAAAAAAAAAAAAAAAAAAAAAAGCACAAAAAGATGATTCAAAAATCAAAAAAAAGGAAAATTAAAAAAGAGAATAGCTCGTAAATAAATGATCATTATTTAATTGATATTTGACAAATTATTTAAAAGAAAAAAAAAAAAAAAATAAAGAAAAAAGAAAAAAGAAAAAGAAAAATGACTACTCGATAAGCAAACATCTATTCTCTAGAGATATATATGTTATATAGAGTTTTAGAGTTTTCTTTTTTTTTTTTTTTTTTTTTTCTTGTTACTCAGTGTCAAAAGAAGAAAAAAAAACAGAGAGAAAGAGAATCAAGAAAATCAAGAAGAAAAGAAAAGAAAGAAAGAAAGAAAAAAGTGGAAGTAACATTAATAATCTCGAAGCAAAAACATTTGAGTTATATACGAGTCGTATGCTTATAGATCGATGATAAATGATATATTACCACCTAATATATCGTAAAATTGACTGATCTAATATCGTCTTGTTTATATGATCGAACGATGGTTAAATAAATATTACATTAATATAGATATAGGATACCTATTTGCTATATATCTACATATATGTTGTAAGTCTAAATATTTTTTTAATATTTTCTTTTTTTTTTTTTTTTTTTACTACAGACGAGATATTAATCTCTCTCTCTCTCTCTCTCTCTCTCTCTCTCTCTCTCTCTCTCTCTCTCTATTCCCTTCTCTATTTATCTTTTTCTCTTTCTTTGATTTTCTTATCGTAAATAAGATCGTTAATGATCGGTAGAGGCTAGGTAGAGACCAGTAAAATTTCTTATTTCGTTCGATAAGCTAACCGCGACGAAATCAACCATCGTCTTTATTATTTACGATTTATATCGACGTGCCAACGTCATTAGGCAAACCCAAGGATGCCTTCTATATGCGGTATGATTATGACATTCGATTGATAGTCTTCTCTTAGTTCGCCGTCGTCTAAGTCGCCGTCGTCTAAGTCGTCGTAGTTGCTGTTTCCCCGTTAAAATTTATTGACCGATTTCAGTATAACCAGTAAAACTTTCAGTAGCTACTTTTACAGTTAAACTCATCGCGGCATCTTTCTTTAAAGGGATGAAAGACAAATATTCCAAGAAGAAAAGTATGTCGCCAATGATAATAACAAGTAAAAAGAAAGAAAAATTAAAAAAAAAAAAAAAAAGAAAAAAAAATATACGCGTGTGTATGTTTGTCCGTGCGTGCGTCTGTGCGTGTGTGTGTATATGTGTGTATATACATATAATTACTCGAAAGAGAATTCGTAGACGGTGACGCATCGAGAGAAACTTTGCACGATTGATTCTCATGGAAATTAATTGTTTTCTTATCTCCATATTATGTTTACTATATTTATTTATTTATTTATTTATTTATTTATTTATTTATTTATTTATTTAATTAATTATTTATTTATTAAATTAATTATTATCATTATTATGATCTCATTATCTTTTTTTTTTTAATTATTAGTAACATATTAGAAAACGTTTTATTTAATTAAACCTGTATTAATATTATATACGTATATTATATATATATATATATATATATATATATATATATATATATACATCATAAAGTTATTGCACCGTTCGTTTAGAAAAAAAAAAAGAAAAAGAAAGGAAAAAAAAATTACATCAATCTGAATAGTGAACGATTAATTATTTCATTCTGTCGTATAGTAAGCGTGTTTTTTTTTCTCGTTTGTTTTTTTTCCCCTTTCCCACTCCACCCCATCTCACGCCCCGCCTTCTCCCTTCTTTTTCTTTCTATTTTATAAAATAAAGGACAACTTTACCCCTCTCCCCTCCGCCCCCCCCCCCCACCGCCCTCACCTCTCTCCCCATCCAGGAACTTTTTTCTGCTTAAGATTTTTTTTTCTCTTTTCTTTTCTTTTTTTTGTTTTTTTTACCTATCGATCTGTCGCATCGACGAGAAATCGACGAGAGATCGACGAGAGATCGACGAGAGAGTGAAAAAAGGGGGAAAAAAAAGATGGAAAAAAAAAAGTTGTATATAACGGCGTACATAGTTGTGCATAGACGTACAATACATATGCATTTATATATATATATATATGTACATATATAATACATAAAAGTATTTAATCGGGGAAAAGTAAAAATCTTTCGATTTGTTAGAATCGATACAATGCGAAATGTAATGTTTCATAGAAACTTTCTCATATTTCTTTGCCAATATCGAACTACGATAGTATTTAAATGCGTTAATTTTATTCGACACAATCGGATTAATAGTCATCTGTCATCCATTATCTTTCTTACGTTATTTCATTCCCAATTGACAATAATTACGTAAATAACATTGCAAACTGTCGATTTTATTAATTATTTCGAAACGATTTATTATGGTATTCGAAAGATTAAAATTTCTTGCTTAGTCACGATCGCGAAAATTTAATCGTGAATGAGAGATTGATGTCAATGAAAAGAGAACAATGAAACGATTATTAGAAAAAAAAAAAAAAAAAAAAAAAATACAAAGGATATGACAAATATTTTCCATATACTACGAAATAATCGTTGAATAAGTCAATTCCATTATAAATGTAGTATCAATAATATATATCTATGTATGTTTGAATGATGAAGGGATACGGGGGGCAAGGGGAATTAGGAGGGGGGATAGGGGAGAGGGGAAAGGGGCATGTCATTAAACGATTTAATTCGCATTAGCAAAACACGAAGATTACGTAATCGATGTTTCCCGATGGCAACAAATCTAACGTCGCGATGTATTTTAATGTATCTATGTGTTATGTATTATGTATTTACTATTTCATTCGCATTTAAAGAGAGATATTCCAATGGTATTAATTACAAATTAATGCGAGCGCATAGACACGCACCATTAGCTATAATCGAAGACTGGTAAGTGTCTCGAGTCGATGTCTCTTTTTCCACGAGAAAGAGAGAGAGAGAGAGAGAGAGAAATAGAAGGAGAGAGAGAGAGGGAGATACATTTACTTACGTTTAAAGAGATCCATGTATATAAGGTTTTTCTACACAAACACGACTGTAAAAGATTTGTAAACCGGACTTGGTAATATTATTATTAGGAATTGATCCGATGGAATTGAAAAACGATCGAAGTTATATTTGAAATTGTTAAATCGAAAAAAGGAAGGATGGAAATGAAAGAAAAAGAAAAAGGAAAATAAAAAAAAAAAAGAGAGAGAAAAGAAAAAGAATTAAATAAAGGATGAAGAAAAGAATAGAAAATGAAAAAGAGAAAAAAATTAGAAAAAAAAAAAAATAAGAAACAAAAAAGATATTAGAATGTATCTAGAAATATGTAAATACTGTCAAATTAAATCGCTTATGAACACGTTAATAACGTCATACGTTTGATTATGTAAATTCGTCGCTTTTTCTTTTCTTGTCCTTTTTCTTTTCTTTTTTTTCTTTTTTCTTCTTCCTTTTCTTCGTCTTTTTTCTCTTTTTTACATACAAAATATGACAATTAAAACGTGTCGATACTTCATTCATTTTTTCAATTGATTTATTTTTTTTCTTTTTTTTTTTTTTTATTTAATTTTATATAATTTTGATTTAATATTAATTTTGCGCTTTATATAATTGTACTTTTTTCAATGGAAAATATTTCTTTAATGATAACATCAATTAAAATATATTTTCTTATCTTTTGTTTGATTTATATATATATATATATACATCTCTCTCTCTCTCTCTCTCTCTCTCTCTCTCTCTCTCTCTCTCTCTCTCTCTCACTTGCGCGTGGGCAATAAATTCTAACGAGTTTGAATAATTCATTTGAAAATTATATTTATAAGCGAACGACTCGTGACTTTTTTTTCTCTCTCTCTCTCTCTTACGTGAATATATCTAAAGTGAAAGAAAGTACAAGCAAACTCGAGAAGTCCTTTCAAGATTGACATTAAGCTTTCGAATAAGCAAGAAGTCGATCACTGTCACGCGTTACGCTATCGT